CCGGTTGGCGGTTGTCGGTTGAAACCTGATCCCTGTCCGGCTTCTGCCGATCTGCCGGGACTGGAGCCGTTTCCCGACCCCCAAACCGCCCCCCCGCTTCTTCACCAACCCCGCCGGTGACCGTGCGGCGTGAGCAGGGATCGCTTCTTCACGGATTTTCGGTCAAGGCAGTTGTCCCACAAATCCTCGGTCGACTGCGCTTCGAGTCGAGGCGCGCGGCCGACGCCAAGACGAGTTCGGCGTGCGTGTGTTGGGCGGCGAAGACCGAGGACGATGGCGTTTTGACCAAATGATCGGTTCTTTGGGCTCAAGTGCTTCGAGCAACTCGATGGGTCCACCATGGTCCACCTGTTTCTGATGGTCCAGAAATACCAGGGTCTACCAGGACCCTCCAAGGGGTGCCCAATGGAAGTCTATAGGTAGTGTGGGGTAGTTAATTGGACACCCCTTGGAGGGTCCTGGTAGAAATTGCATGAGAACGGGCGTGCGGCGTGCGACCTCCTTCTTCTTCCGTTCTTCGATCTCCTTGTGCTTTTCAGCCGCCATGTAGCGAGCTTCTGCAACCCCGCCGCCCCCCGGTCCCTCGAGAACTTGAGAACGCATCCAAAGGGGAAACACGCACGACTGGGGAGGGCGCTGGACTGCTGGAGGATGGATGGACATCAGACTTGCAAGCTATCTTTGATGATATGTTGTAATTGTAGCCGCTAGCCAATGGCCAGTTGACCGCGGGAGTGCCTGCCTTACAACTGAGTGAAAACCGGTCAACAAAAAGGAATACCAAAAGAAACACCATTCTCTGGCCATGCATCTAGGCTGTCTTCCAGGTTCATCAGGCTGCCTGCAAGGCATCTGCTGATACACACGCAACACAGCAAACATCACACAGTTAAAACATGCTAAAACAGCAAAGAGCACATGAAATTTCACCATGTTTTGGACATGTTCGATGCACCAACAACACGGATTCGCACCAGGATTCACCTTTTGATCTTTCAGTAGATAGGTCAGAGACTGTGCCTATTGAGCTGTCTGCCACATCCACCGATGCTGTCGCCGCCATATCCAGGGACTCCGTCATGCTGCGCGGCCATGGGGTGTCTCAGAGCGTTACCATTAACGGATGGACTGAGCTCTTTCATGTAGAGCTAGTCTCGCGTACTTGTTGATCCCAGTGCTCAGGAGTGCTCCATCCACGCAGAATCTGCATACATCCGAACCAAGAAGTGGGTCGATCATCGGCCACCCTATCGAGTTGGTCAGATTGTGCTCGCAATGTATGTTAAGCAATAACATATTATATAACTATGCTATGTATAATATATGTCATATTGTGTACTTTATTGAAATTCTACATGCATCGATTTGCCGATCTTTTTGCCGCATGCTCTCAAATTTGTTTTGGCCGCACTACCTCCTCAAAGCTCTATCTTTGCCATGAATGCCATGTTGTCTGAGAAAAAGTCGGCAGCAGGCCACGTGGCTACCAAACGGTTGGGTGTTTCGTCTCTGGCGGCTAGCGCCCACTACCGGATATCCGGCAGTCGAAGAATGCTGCCTTGCGTATGCTTTTGTCACATTTGTCTGCTTGGACTAACCCTCACACCCTCCAAGAAAAGACACCTCCCATCACCTCCCTGTCTCAGCCCCAAAAAGGCCACAACCTCTGGAGAATGTTGACCTTTTCCGCCCGGAGTGGAATATATGGTGTAAATGGACCAAGTGGCCGCCGTGCCCCAGGTCCAAACAAACTCCGCACTTCAGCCAATCCTCAAAGCACTGCCGCATTCCAACTGCGCACTGCTAGGAAGGTGGGAGGCGTGAGCCTCAATTATACCAAAGCCTCAAAACCCAAAGTTCATCTTAAAGATTGCAAGGCATATGTGCAACAAACCTATGCACTCAAAGCAGGTCCCAACTTGATCGAATCGAGTCGTGAGTGCAAACCATTGCAGCACCACACCGGAAGAACCTCTTGTCAACAAAGGTCTAGGCTGATTCTTCCCGAGGCAGCTGGTTGCAGCAAACCCGGTCGCAGCTGGTTGCTGCTTCCAAGGGGTCGCAAACGGAAGCGTGGAAGCGCGCCTGGTCCAATTCGCATCCTTTTGATGCTAGACTCTTGATTCTTGATGACTCTTGATTAATGAAACTATGTCAAACCCACCATGCCACAAAAATCCATAAAACCCCTCTGGCTCCCAAGCTCGCCCAGGCCAGGGTTCCCGACGGCGTCGTTCGCGGGCTCCTGGGCTGGCACGGCAGCCGTGTCAAAGCACTGGTGGGGCCATCCAGCCATGTGGAGCCATGTACCAAATCGTAAGCCAATTTGGATGTGTCCGCTTGATCTGATTTGTATAGGCACCCCCCTACCCAGCCAAGCTACAGGGCAAGGTGGTGGCGTTCAGACATGTTGCAAGTATGAGTATGTATGTGTGGCGTTGTCACCTTGAATGGTCCTGGCCGGTTCCTTTTCTTCACCTTGGATTCTCTAATGCAAACGATTGATGAATCAACCTCCCAGGCTTGGAGATGTTAGCAATAGTTCTACGTGATGGGTCCGTTTTTCACCTGAAAACCTTCCCAACTGTGTCCCGGTACACCTCTCCCAGCTATCGCGGACCCGCCGCCTTGTGCGAGGAGCCGTGGCCGGAGCCATTGCCTCAGACGTTGCGAAAGGTGCTACAAAGCAATTGGGAACACTTGAGGCTATAGACCTTCCTGCCAGATTTGGCGGAAAAATGCATGGGGATGGGTCAAAACCTGGAGCTAACACCTTCCAGGTAGGTAGGTCTCTTTATCATCTTTATCTGTTCAAAGGCCAGTGAGGTCTGGGACTAATTATTGATACAGTTACTATATTTCTGTTCATTCTCGCTGGTCACCCAAAACTCCCTCGGCTTTTGCGAAAAAGCCCAAGCTTTGGCACAAACACATATAGCCATATAGCGCATATATAGCACTCCTTGAGCACACCTTCAAGCTCCGTCGAGCACGTGCGGAAGTTGAAGCTCCAGAGCTTGCCCCACCGACTCAGCTCATCAACAGTGCAATGGGTCACTCAGAGCCACCCACGGAGGAACACGGATTTTCCGTGTGGAAGTCAGTGGGGCAATTTGCAAGAACCAACCAACCTCAACTTCCAAAATGCCCACAGAAGTGGCATTTCATCCTCAAAAACCTCACCTTTCTGGGTCCCCACCTTCTTCCTTCATCGACTTCCGAGCGACTTCCGAGCTCGGCCGCCAGGTTCTCCGGCTTCACCGACCTCGGTCGGTGGAGTGGTAAGACTCGGGCCCACGGCTGGGGGGTTGAGGTATAGAACGTAGGTATTTGGTATTTTCTATAAGCAACTGTTCGGGAAAAAAAGGGCATACTGTAAGTCCATCATAGTATATCATAGGTGACACAAGTGGTGGACTCCGTGGACTCGTGTTTATATGTATTGTGGTCACTCACTTCATCAGACCCTCACAACTATTAATAACGGTCTGTACCTAGCTTTTCTGGACCTCAAGACCAGAAGAACCCACTGCACCGTTCTTGGGACCAAACGAATCAATGCAGAACACTTTTTTAGCTGACATGCAGGTGGAAAAAGCTGCCTTGCAGTAGAATTGCACACAAATAGCCACCCAATCCACAATGGGTAGTGCACATGATACCCTTCCAAAGAGGTGCATGGGATTGATCATGATTAATCCATGAGCCAATGAGTTCTGGAGAGGTATCCTGTGAGCCTGCGGCATGCATGCTAACCACTTCTATAATAGCCCCTTCCGAACTCAGTCTCAATTTGCTCTAAGGATCTGTAGCAGATTGCACCTTCCAGTGATCAAAACACCTGTTGACTCAGGCCAGCGTTTGTTGCAGCCCGCAAGTTATTCATTCGGGTCATGATCCATCCATATCCATTCTGTGTCCTTCCCATTTCAGAGGGCCCCGCTTGACCTCACCCCCTTGCAAACGCACCTGGCACAAGGCACCACACTCACAAAATGCGTGTTAAGAGTTTGGGCGTTTGATGGTTTTTGGATGTTTTGGGTGCACTTTGGAGCTGAAACAAAAAATAAACATCGCGTATTCGAAGTGCATCGGTGCACCGCGTATTCGATCGACAGGCTAAGTCAAAGTGTGCACTTTGTGACTTCTCCAAATCTCCGCCGCGGGATACTAGTAAGTTTGCAAAGCCTCGTCCAAACTGCAAAAGCGAGAAGCCAACAGCAAAATACATCGCGCTGTGAGGATTGGAGATCCGACCAGAATGAACGTCCCGCATGGCCGTGTAAATCATATAGTGTTGTATTGGTTCCATCATCTGGCTGGTGCGACTCGCAGGAAATGAGGGAAGTTTCTCCCCCACTGCAGGTTTTTTTGGATCCAGCCACCCTCATTCCCTACTTTTCGTGGCACCCAGTCGGTCATTGGTTCCAAGAAAAAGCAACAAAGCTTGTGAATCCCTAACCCCGCCTTCCAGCGCCCGGCCGCAGCATCCTGGCAGCGTGTCTGGCGTTTCCGGCCAGGTGCTGAACCGAGCTCCAAACCTCAATGGAAGGTCATCCACCAAAATGGATTCATAAACCAAACCAGCCATGAAGTAATTGAAGAGCTTCACTTTGATTTGGGAACCCAGCTCAAAGGGACCCAGAACTCTAGACAGCATTCTGAGTCTTTCCAATTCGCTTCTAAGACCTTCGGTCCGACACACCGACGGCCGGTGGCTCGTGGTCGTCGTCTCTCCCGCCGTGAAGGGCCCGCCGCTGCGCTGCACGCACGTGGCGCCGGGCTGCCCGGCCCAAAGCTCGAGGAGTCCCAACCTGGCAGGTCTCGGGAGTCGCACGGAGTTGGGTGGTGCTTAGTGCTTCTAGTCCCATCCAGTGAGTGGATATTCCAAGGGCACCACCAACCTCCATGGATCGCACCCCGTCGAACGTGACTGCTGGTCTCGTGAGTCTTTCGTGGAGCTTTGGTTGAAGAGCTTTGGAGGGTTTGGTGATGTTCAGGCCCCTTTGGAAGGCCCCCGTGCGAGTGGATCCTTTTCCAAATTGAGATGGTGAAGGTTCACCGTGCCAGGTAAGTTCGTCTGTCGCCGTAGCGGCATGCACTTCCTTGATGTGTGCATGTGCCGCTGATCAGGATGCTGTGGAGAATCCCTGGGCTCGCTGCCACATTGGGATGCCCTACTGGAGGTGCCTGTGTGCTCTCAGGATACCCCCAAGAGAAACGAAAAGCAAACAAAGGGGGTCGCGCGAAAATGAAAAATAAGCCTTGAACCAACATCAAAGTGGTGGCCAACAAACCAAACGGCTCTGCCCAACACTCTCAATGGAACAAATCCCAATCCCCCAATCGTCATGGAGTTGCCCACTAGGCGTGTCGTGTTCGACCCTCCCCCTCACGGCCCGGCTGGGCGCTCTGGGACATCTGACATCCCATTGAGCTGCGGGGCGCTCTGCAAAGCACGCAAGCGCACGGCCTAGATCAAGGTGGTGAGAATGGCCCAGCGCGTGTTCTCACGGCCCATCAAACACCCTGAAACATACTCCAGCAAATGCAACCAGCAAAATAAATAAAAAATACATATATATATATATTAATATATATATATATATTATATTTATTATATGTGTGTGTGTGTGTTTGAAAGTGTTTTTCCATGTATTTCTACAGTGTGCATGTCTCCACCGTTTCGTGGCTACCCCTTCTGTAGCCATCCTTCTGTAGCCATCACCACCCAATGAATGACGTTGATGTTCTTGTGACCCGAGACTCGTCTCGAGACGTTCGTCGGTCGGTCACATCCCGAAAAGGTCATATCTTGATGAATTCCTGATACGGATGTAAAGGCATGCTAAAAAGCTAGAAGGGGATGTGACTTGTTAATCACAGTAAGAGTCTACATTGGTGGTCCCAGTTTTCTATGGCTGAGGGCTTCAGGTTTCTGCACTTCAGCGGATGATTGATTCTGCGACACGTGTGCCAAAAAAGAAGGACCATCGACGTTGAACCTGGGAGAAGCGCTGCATGGGAAAAAAACATAGCAACTAACGAACTTACTTGCAAATCTCTGCATGAAGGCCTACC